TTAACTTTTGCGAAACAGTAATGAAGCCCTAGCGAAAATATTGTGTAACAATATAGCGCATGTAGTTCACGTTTACAGCTATTAACTATTCAGTATTTAAATAACTTTTAAAACTGTCAAAAGTCGAAGAAAAATAATATATTCAGTATTATTTTATGCATTGCTAAAACTGCACGCTTTATGGAGTTTAACCTATTATTAAAGATCAAGTTTCTATATAATTAAGCTCGTTGCCCAACATCTGTGCACAGCTATTAAAGCTACATATAGTAGCTTTTTGTTCTTGCCTCGCTGTTATTGTTTGTCATAAGCGAAAATCGTTTGGCTCGGTGCACGCGCACCTAGAACAAACAAACGCACGTACGAACAGTTATTTGGGTGCATGTAAATAGATAAAGTTCGCCGTGAAGTCAAATGAAAAGAGTTGCGCAGTTGGCGAGAGGGAGCGAGCGCTAAGCAACAAGCAGCCAGAACAGTAATTACGATGCAGAGAAGGCCGCTCTAAATGACAACAATAAATTCACAGAAGAGCGAGCAAAAGCTAATTTGGAAATGAATGAACGCATTGCTACACACACATGCACACATGGACACAGATAAACGTTGACAAACCGAAACCCACAGGGGGTTTGTTTGGCATTCAAATTTCGTAGCCAAGCGTTGCAGCCTTTTGGCATTTCATTTATTTACTTCGTTATCAGAAACTTTAACTTCAACTTTGAATGCAATATAATTCGTTCTAAGTACACAATTCAACAACGTTTGTCATAGATCTCTTTTATGATCTACAATAACCGTTTGCATGTTAACAGAATATCACTGTAAGCAGTTTTAAGTCTGTTATGATAGCGGATGAATGTCCGTAAACGGGTTGAAGTCTGTTATAACTGCGGATGAATGTACGTAGCGCACGAGTGCATATTGAGTACATTTGCACCCAAACGGCGCCAACAACAGAGTGCGAACACTGCAGAAAGCCAGGTAAGCAAAAAAAAACAACAAATATTGTCAATACAATACACTTATGTAGGCTTTGCAATGAGCATGACTAAGAATTTGTGTACTGCTGTCCCACCTGCATAGACTGTGATTGAGTCACAGGGTCGCACGCGACCAAAACAATTTGATACGCATTTATAAAGATAGTCTGCATTCTATTTACCACTTACCTGTTAAAAATATATTCCAAACAAAAGAGACAGCTGACGAATTATGTAGCAGGAAACAAAGTGCACATATAAACACATACACACGCGCACACACACACTCACATACGTATGTTTGTGTATGTATATAATTTTATTTATATACCAGTGTCACAGTTTGCTGTGAAATTTTATTATTATTATTTTATTGCAATTGGATTTTTAGAAAAATAGCTGTGTGCTAGTTTCTAAATTGCGTTTTTCACATTTTTTGCATTGTTATTTATTTGTTTTAAAGACTTCTTTCGTATTCCCGATTTATGTTGTATTCTCTTTTCAGTCGCAGCTAACTTTGCAGTGACGTGCTGTAACGCTGCTGGTTCACAGTAGACTAACAGCGCGTTATCATGTTAAAACTCAAAAGAAACTGCACTGCTGAAAATCGATTAGTTCCGATAGATGCGCAAAATTTAAAAATGCAAATTGTAGTTAACATAAATTTGATTTATTTATTTATTATATATTAATGTATTTTTATTTTTTTTGGAATGATTTCTTATTGCAGTAAGTGAATTCGACTATGTTTCTCTAGATACTCTCTTCTGGTAAAGCTCTTTATGCAATCTAAGCATTGAAAAGGACGTTCTCCCGAATGAGTGCGTATATGATTGACTAAATGGCTGCTTTGCGTGAAGGCCATATGGCAATGTGGACACTGATAAGGTCTGTCACCTGAATGGACACGGTTGTGCCTTTCCAGATTGACACTTTGTGTGAACGTTTTTGGACAGTGTAAGCACTTGTACGGCCTTTCTCCAGAATGAACACGATTGTGCCGCTGAAGATCTCCGCGATTCGCAAAAGTCTTTGGACACAGACAACATTTGAAGGAACGTTCCCCGGAATGGGCACGTATGTGCTCCTGTAGATACCATTTACTAGTAAAAGCTTTTGCACATTCGGTGCACTTGTAGGGTCGCTCGATATGGCTATGCTTCTCCAGCTCTGTCCATGAAGATGAGTGCGAATGAATGCGAATATGATTGGCTAGATGGTTGCTCTGTGTGAAGGCCTTCGGGCATTGGACGCACTTGAAGGGTCGTTCGCCGGAGTGAACTCTCATATGTTTGTCCAGATTGCAGCTCTGATTGAAGGCTTTCTGGCAGTAGATGCAGGAGTAGGGTCGCTCGCCAGAATGAATGCGAATATGCCTTTTAAGACTTCCTCGATTCGTAAAAATCTTTGAGCAAATCGGACATGGCTGAGCTTTATCTGATTTGTTCAGTTGAAGTTTCACTGGTTCATTAAGCTGTTCATTTGTGCTTCCCTTGCCTATCGGCTCAATGAACTCCTGCTCCTCGCTTTTTATGTGCACTTCTATATTTCTATTGACTTGCTCCTCTTCTTCTTCAATTTCCTTAGCCTCCACTTTAATGCTACATTCTGGATATTGCCAAGCCTCGCGCAGCAGCTGACTAAAGTGTTGATAGCTCTGCTCGCATCTTCTTTTGAAACGATATGCATTCTGCGCAGCTAGCACGCAGGCTAAACATATTTGTTTTGGAAATGGATCGTCGCGTAGCACAAGACAGTCAACGCATTCGTTAAGCATCTCGGCCAGACAGGGCTCGGATTTGTCGGATTGATCACGTTCAGCGAAGATATCCACTAGAGTGACAGCGCTGCTTGTACAAACGCGACAAACTTCTTCCATTTTAAATGGGAAGGCAAATTTTTCCAAATCCTCTTTTTGTTTATGTTTTCTTTCTATATCAATTTGTAACGCAAGCTGCATCCGGGTGGTCAGCAAATACCTAAAAATATACTAGTTTTTGGTAAAAATACCATATGTTGTATTTTGGCTTTGTAGCGATAACGATTATATTTATTTATACCTTAAATGAGGATTAAAATGCTTTTTGTTATTTATATAAGTTAATATAATTTTTAATTTAACAATTTCTTCATTTTATATTCTATTACGCTCGAAATTTTGGTGTACATCTTTCAGTTAACCGTCATCGAACCAATCGAATAATGCGGCGAAGTTTGTTTAACAGCGCAACATGTTCCTACAGCTATACAGTCATAGCATTACTCTCTCTGCTCTCTTAAGATTACCTGCACGTATATCTTATTGGACTGTTGAGAACAGCACTTGTTAACATCGTGCGTCGACTCTAACAGCTGTTACACAAAACTGTTATTGTATATCTTGCTGTTGACGCGTGTGGTCGGGTTTTTTCGGCGGTAAATGCGGGTATTATAATCTAAGCAACAAATATAAAGTGCAAAATAAAGAAAAAATTCATGAAAAAATTGCAAAAATTTCTAAATGTGTTGAAGATCGCGATAAACATAATATTAGTTAAATAAAGGTAAATTATAGCAAATGCAAAGCTATTTTTAAGAGTGTGTGTGTAGCAAAATCGATTATTCAATCTGTGTGTGAACGTATGTGTATGCGTATGCGTATGCGTATACCTCAGTGTATGTGTGAGCATGTGTGTGTTTGTTTTAAAGTTTTTTATGCATTGGGCATACCACTATAAACGGAAAACTTAACATAATATGCCAATTTAACTAATTTAAAATGCAGCAAAGACAATTGAAAAGAAAAATACGAATAAAACGCAAACGACAAAGCAAACTGCAAAATGTAGAGAAGTGTATACCAAAAGCAGAGCGTAAAAAAGTCCAACCAGAAACGTACACAGTCACAGTTACACACACACTCGCACAGAAACACAAATTCATTTGCTCATACTCTTACACACATATTCACACATACTGAGACAAACGGCTAAGCGCGTACACAAAGTAAATGAGCGCAAAAGCAATTGCGAAAAAGAAAAACAAGTGCAAAAGCAAAACACAGTCTATGAGTGTGTGTGTGCGCGTGTGTGTAAAAGCAAAAAGCAAACGCAAAGCGAAAGATTTAATAATTAATTTAATGCCTCAGCTTGAGTTTAGCAGGAAAGACAAAAGTTCTCACTGAGCTGGCAGCTGATGCAGCTGCCAGTGGGTGTGAGCGAGAACGCAGCATATGTCGGCCATCAGCTGTTTTGACACTTGACACGATCGTCGCCCGTGTTGTTTTTTCTCGTTTTTTTTTGTTGTATTTGATTTACTTTGTTTTAGTTTTTTTTGCATTTTCTTTGCTGCTGTGTTTGCTTGCCTAAACGAGTTGCGCTTTGATTTTTGCGTTGTGTTAATTAATGCAAATTGGTTTATTTATTGAGTTAAATTGTTTTTATGCATAGTTTGGTTTCAATTGACGCAAAAGCAAATGCAAAGTCAAGCAAAGTCAAAAGCAATAACAATATTTCAAATAAAATATATAAATAATTACAAAAGAAACAAAAACAGTGAAAAGTAAAAACAATGTAGAATAAAAAACTATCTGGCAACTCTCTACAAGTTATTGTTCCCCTTAAAAAAAAATTAAGTCAAAATTTCCAACGCTAATTTTTGTTTTATCCTTTTTCTTACACAATTCTCTTTGCAGCTACACAGAGAAAAAAAAAAAGAAAATTTAAATTTAAAAGCGGAATTAAAGAATTTCAAGTGTTAAACCAAATGTTAGTCTAAGCTTAAAGTGTAAAACTAGTTTAAGCCCGCAAAGTGTTAACAAAAGTAAAAACAAAACATAGTAATTTATAATATTAATCCAAAAAAGAAACGAAAACTGTAATAAATAATACAAAAACCAACAACAACAACAAAAGCTGAAGCTTCCACTAATACAACAAGAGCAAGAGTTAAACAGTCAGTTTTTACGGCTAAAAACGAAGGCTAGAAAAAAGGCTAAACGTGAATAGCTGCGCTTTGCAATCAGCCCAATTGCATTAAAATTTTCTTTTGACCGTTGTTAATCAATTCGCCAAAATAGCTAAATCCATTTTACAATTTCTAAAAAAGAAAAAATCCCATCATAGTTCAGGAACGGCAAGCGGCAGCGGCAGCGGATCAGAGGGCAAGTTACAGCAGCAGCACAGCAACGAGGAGGAAGGCGGTGGTGCAGGTGGAGGACAGCAGGAAGCAGCCGCCGCTAGCCACAAAATAACGCCGCCGACCACAACAGCAGCAGCAGCAACAGCAGCGGGCAGAGCATCGGGTGCAGGAGTCGAAGCAGGAGTCGGAGCCGGTGTAGCCAAAACAGACGCAGCTGCTGCCTCTGGCGAGGAGCCGCCGTTGGCGAACAACCAAAGCAACAGCTCACCTCAAGCTCAGGTCTCGGCCAGCGCCACGTTTCGTTTGTCTTCGTTGACGGGCACCATCTCGAAAATGGGCAATAACGCGACCACATCCAACAAGAAGGTGGATGCCGCCGAGACGGTTAAGGAGTTCCTTGAACAGGCCAAGGAGGAGTTTGAGGATAAATGGCGTCGCAATCCAACCAATACGGCTGCGCTCGATGATTTCGAAAGGATCAAGACACTGGGCACCGGCTCCTTTGGCCGCGTCATGATCGTGCAGCATAAGCCAACAAAAGACTACTATGCCATGAAGATATTGGACAAGCAGAAGGTCGTCAAGCTGAAGCAGGTGGAGCATACGCTCAATGAGAAGCGCATCCTGCAGGCGATACAGTTCCCATTCTTGGTCTCGCTCCGCTACCACTTCAAGGACAACTCCAATCTCTACATGGTGCTGGAGTATGTGCCCGGCGGCGAGATGTTCTCGCATCTGCGAAAAGTCGGACGCTTCTCGGAGCCGCATTCACGTTTCTATGCAGCACAGATTGTGCTCGCATTTGAGTATTTGCATTATCTGGACCTCATCTATCGCGATCTGAAGCCGGAGAATTTATTGATCGATTCGCAGGGCTACTTGAAGGTCACCGATTTCGGCTTCGCCAAGCGGGTCAAGGGCCGCACCTGGACGCTATGCGGCACACCTGAATATCTGGCGCCCGAAATCATTTTGTCCAAGGGCTACAACAAGGCCGTCGATTGGTGGGCGTTGGGCGTGCTGGTCTACGAAATGGCAGCCGGCTATCCGCCGTTCTTTGCGGACCAACCCATACAGATCTACGAGAAGATCGTCTCTGGCAAGGTGCGCTTCCCCTCGCACTTTGGCTCCGATCTGAAGGATCTGTTGCGTAATCTACTGCAAGTGGATCTGACCAAACGCTATGGCAATCTGAAAGCAGGCGTCAATGATATTAAGAACCAGAAATGGTTCGCCTCCACGGACTGGATTGCGATCTTCCAAAAGAAAATCGAAGCGCCGTTCATACCGCGGTGTAAAGGTCCCGGGGATACAAGCAATTTTGATGATTACGAAGAGGAGGCGTTGCGAATTTCCAGCACCGAAAAGTGCGCCAAGGAGTTTGCCGAATTCTAGAAGATGCACAAACAACAACACGCATTCAAGTCACCATCTTCGTTACCATCGTCGTTGTTGTCGTCGTCGTCGTCTCGTCTATATGTCTACTACTTACTACAACTACTACTATTACTAGTGCTACAACTGCAGCTGCAACTGCAACTGCAACTGCAACTGCTACTGCAACTACAAATGCAACTGCAACTTTTACATCTACTTGGGTCTAGCTGGTCATATACTTATCACACACACACATACCCATACACACAACCCAACACACACAAACACCAACACCAATACAATACAGCACAACACAACACACATCAAAAGAAACCCCAATTGGATTTTTCATACCCAGTCGCAACAAATAACAAATAACAGTGAGTATCCAATTGGAATTATTTACATTATAATGCATTGATATTATATAACATTCAGAAAGGATATTCTATTTATTTATTTTTTTTATAATAAAATTTAAACTAGTTAAATATAGTTATAATTAATAAATATATAATATATTATATATTTGGAGGAGCTCAAACTGAGACATCTTTACATTGCATTGAATCACTCTTATTGTATAGTCTTGTGTACATATATATGTATATTAAGATAACACATATTATAAGTTCGGAAACTTTCAATTAAAAGTTATAAATATGCCTTATAAATCAAACAACAATAAATATTAATATCAGCAAATATGATAATCAAAAACAAGTCCATCAGTACGTGATTATTAGGTGTATTTGAAGTCTTTTCAGTCAAGTCTTTTTTCTGTCTTAATGTTAAATGCAAGCAGCAATGTATGCTTTCATTACTACTTTTAAATTACTAGAAAATCTTCATTTGTGACCAAGATATTGCCTCTTGAATTTAATTAGTATCTTTCTCACACGCCACCTATTGGCGCGTAGAGTAACCTGTCGCTGTTAGTTGACCTTGTCGGAAGTCTTTTCAGCGCGCGATATCTCACTGATAAATAAAATTTTCAAACATTTTCAAAAGACTTGTATAGAAGAAAAAATGTACTTTCTGTTATTGCAGAAATAAAAATTTAACTAGATATGATAGAAGCTGAAAATGCCATAGAGGCGTTTTTTGCATTTTAGGTTAATATATATTTGACCTTTTAGCTCTATTCTAGTTTCAGTATTGCGCTCACTTAACCACCACAAACCATTGAAAAAGTATAGTCTGATACTTGGTAACTAAATTTGATCAAAGTAAATTAATTTTGTGGTCCTGTGGTTTCTTCAAGGTTTGATAGGCGAGCATTCTATAGGAAATGAATCTCAGATTTTTGCTTTATTTATTCAGTTTTGTGCAGCCACATACTTGGGTATAGGGTATCAGTGATGTATTATCTTTCATTCAAATAGTGTTCTTATATAGGCAAACGTAATTTGCACTCTATATTTACATTCTATTCCCTAAGAGATCGGTGTTGTGATATATACGCATAGATAATGATGGAAACTTTGTTCCATAAATGATTTACGATTGATGGTTGTTTGTTTCCCTTTGGACAGCACCTTGAAGTTGATGAAGCACAGCAGCAGCTTCTTAAGCACACGAACCCGAACTGAGTTCATCAACTCAAATTGTTCTGATTGTGCTTTAGACAGCTTCTGCTTTTCACCCTCTTCATTATCTCACTCTGCCCACATTTTGTTGAAAGCGTGCCGGTCATTCTTTTAATTAGTTTGACTCGTTGCAGCTGTCAGTGAGTCGAATTTCTTGGTATTTGGCGGGCTCTATATGTGTCGGTGGGTCGACAAAGGCTTTGGCAACCTGCTCGCACCACATGTTGAGCACATGTTCCTTCCATTGAAATAATTCCTAATACGTGCTCTTACTCGACTCTGGCCGTTTCAGTTGCTGGGAAACACCATTCGAGATAATGCTAAATGTCAGAGCTTTTTTTTTCAATCGTTCAAAAGTGCTCAATGAATCAATGAGTTGAAAATAATTCGCGTTTGACACTAACTATGCGTTGTTAGATAAGAAATTTCTGTCACAGGTGGTAATAGAATACTTTGTGGTTGTAGACTACGAATATTTTACTGCCAAACACATTATATAATATGGCGAAAGATTAGATTAAAGGTATTATCTAATATCGTATAGATATATATATGTATATAAATATTATGAATTACAAGTTATGCATCTTTAAATAAAAGCATTGCAATGACAACCACAGATATTTCTCTGATAATATTTTTATTTAAACAATAAATATATATTAAATTAAAAAAATAATAATAATTTAATATATTGATGTATAAATATAATTAAAATACAAATATTAAAGTTTAATAATGTTAATATAATAATGTTATTCATTTAAAAATTTTATTTTTATTTATATATATTATGTTATTTTTTACATTTATATTAACTCTGCCTTTGACTGATTGATAATAAATTAAAAATATGCAAGTATTTGGGTTAATTAATTTGCGTCTGCTGAAGAGATAATAGCTATAGCCCTTCTTACAAAATTTCCCTACACGTAATTGTTATTTCTTTTATCTTTTTTTTACTTTTTGGTAATTAAAACTTTTGCGTGAACGAAAATTTCTTGCTTGCCTCAAAAACACAGCCCTCAGTTTGCTACCTGTCTCTCTCACTGTCTCTCTCACTCTCTCCCTCACTCTCTCTGTTCATGCTCACTTTTCGCATTGAACTTTGCGTTTAACCAAATCAACTTGGCGACCAAAATGCCACAAAATATTGATATTTACACTTGACCCATTTGGTTGCCTTGACAGTCGAGTATGTATGTATGTACATGAGTGCTTTTGTATGTATGTGTGTTGTGCTGTCCTTAGCATAACTAATGTCAAGCCAGCAAGGCTAACAAAATAGAAAATTTGTGTATATATGTATTTATATTAAATATATATACATAATTCTATGCGCTTTTGCTTTGCAGTTACAAATGGTTTTTTATACTCGTTTTTTAAGTGGAAAAACGGGTATATTAGTTGTGCACAATAATATAGAAAATTGATATTTAAACTAAAAGCTTCTGCGGTGCCTGGTATTATGAGCTGTTAAGAAGAGCTTGAGGGCGTGGCTAAATTAACTTGGTAAACTGTTATTAATCACATAACAAATATTATGATTGTATTATGGTCAATCTGTAAGTTCTAGAAACTTACACCTGGCCTTATCAAAAGAAAATTACTTTAGACTGCCTATATATATACCTTCAGTTTTGGTTCTGTTCATTAGGGCGATTGTTGTATAGTTGAAATTTAACTGTTTCTGTGTTGTCAACAACAACCATTTTGCAGTCTGTTACACCCGACTGCAACATTCTGACTTTTCGCGTGCTTTTCGCCCATTAGCCAAATACGCATTGTTGTTGGTTTTTCATTAAAAGTCAAGACGCTGCGCGTTATTAATATAATAATAAATTATAAGCAGCCACTGTGCGGCAAATGCGTGTAACAGGCGAATAAAACGTCAAGAAAATATACAAAAAAAAAAAGGAAAACATAAAACATTTATAATTATGAAATTTACAAGTCAAGGCGTGGGCCGTCGTCATTAAAGAGTCAGTAGAAGCATACAGTGTAGACTGCTGCTGACCTCCACAATAGACGAAATATTTGTATACTAAATACTTTAGCTGCATTTCATATAACACATTGACCGTGACCTTGCCTGACCTCTGGATAGGCTCTGCTGGCTTGTCTTCTGCTAATTTGTTTATTCCATTCCTTCATGTGACACATTTCTTGCTCAATTTTATTGGCACTAATTAATGTTCGAAGGGAAACAAAAAAATAAAAAGGAAACAAAAATTGTATTCATCAATCATTTCTTTTTTATTTGTTTCACTTTTCGTTTTCAGCCCCGTGGCCAATTATATCGATAGTCTGAGCAACTAGCACTTAAGCATTTGCCTATTTACATAAACCCCTCCAAAGTGCTCAATGAATATATATGAGTCGCGTTGTCTTAGATATGACTAAGACTTAGGCTTTAAGGCCTAATAGGGATATTGTGTTAGGGTATTGATGTTAAAGTTCATAGTAAACTAAATATTGCCTAATGATAATTATCTAAACTGATAATAGTTCTATCAATTCCTCAGTTTCTCAACATTCCATTCAATGTTCACATATTAATCAATTTTATGGTAGCTATAAAACTCTGTGTACACATTTCTTTTGTTTTTGTTCACTTTTTATATTCTTAAAAATGTTTTGTACTAGCCTTCACTATTTCGCAATATTATTTATTGTAATTTAGGAAAATATTTTTATAGAAAATATATATAATATAGTGGGATCAACTTCTTTATAGGGACATCCTATAGCTAAATTCTTATAGATAAATTATTATTAACCTTAGAACTCTTTCTAAATCAGTTTAAAGCGCATTGAAGCTAATCTTATAGTGCTATATATCATATGTAATATTTCTTAAACACTTCAAAGTGTTTCATTGCCATATTATTATCATATATAATCTTAATATGTATAAAAGTATTTCTCCATGTATTTATTTTCAAAAAAAAACTTCAAAGTGCATCGAAGACAGTTTAAGTCTTTTTAAATAAAGTTTTAACTTTATAATTTCAGACGTGAATTCTATGAAAACTATTAAATACTTTAAGATTTTTTGTGATTTTTGTGCCCTATAGAAAAATAGGGTATATTTGCCTTTAGGTAAAAGTACAGTTGTGTTCATGAAAATTTTAGTAGTAAATTTACATTAAATAATTTTTATATTTAAATATTATTTATTTATTTATATATTTATATATTTTATTTTAATATTATATTTTATTCTTGTCTCTGCATTTGTGCCATATCTTCGTGTGGTTCATCTGACTCAATTTCGCTTGCTGTTAGAGCCACACAATCTAAGAATTAAAACTGGAAGCTTAAATTTATTTCAAATTGATACCGATTTTCACTTATTTTTAACATAGCTTAAGCTATATTTTAAATGTACACAATTAATGTCTAGATTAACGGTAAGCAAACTCACTAAATGATTACTTTGATTTGGTTACATAAAAATCTTATTGTTAAAAGATAAAAATTCATTTAATATTAGAGAGAATATTTTCAATATTAGCTTGACACATCGTTCAAGGTATTTCCTAGTCGAGCATTCCCTATAAGAATACTCTTACTTTTATTATTTTGACATTACCTAAGCAGCAGCAAGTGGCCGACACTCGCTGTAAGCTTCAATTAAGCCGTTAACTCATATTTGGCTTAAAGGAAATTGATAGATTTTCATGAAAATAATATAATATTATGAATTAATATTTAACAGCTATCCATTTATTTGACGCCATTGCAATTGTCTTTTAACTCACGCTATCAACTGAAACTTTCTTTTAATT